AAGGGGGCAAATTTAGTATGGTACCTGTTGATTTTTGATACCACCCACAGTTAATTTCCTGCTTTTGTCAATACTAATTTTCAAATCCAAAAATGCCAAATTTTCCGTTTGTGTTTGGTGTCTCTATTGTGAACTGTGAATTTTGATGTAATAATTTTGCAGCCCGAAGCATTTTTTCAGGATCAGCCTTCACTGTTCTCACTATATCGTCAGCGTAACGGAGAAATAATTTAGCTTGCTGCACTGCGTTATTTTTCTCTCTTATTGCGATACATTTCCTACAGTTCCAGACGGTTTAATTTATGTTTCAATACTCATCATCTGATATATCACCGCATTTTACGTGATACCAGTTCAAACAGCATTCACAGTCTACACCTTTTGACTTGTACGTGAGTTTCTTATTGCACTCGGGACAAATTCCGTTGAGATCTTTCTCGGGCAAAAACATTTTGGGATTATCCCTCGATAGTGCAGTTTCGTACTGCTTCAGCCAAATATTTGCTTAAAAAAACGGCAGGAGATGCCCCCATTGCCAAACCATCTTTTTGAACGTACCATCTTTCATTGCACTTGAAATGGACTTTACTAACTGCCAAGTTCAACAGTCTCTTCATGGTTTTCGTAGCAATTGGTGGTTGTTCATCTTGCTCATACAGTTTTCTCAGAGCTATGTCTATTGCTTCTTTCAGTGGAACAAATTCTTCACATCTAGAGATATCAAATTTTCATTGTGCTCAAGATTAGTGCTCTGTAAGATTTCTCTCGCATCTAGTGAGTTGGTTTCGATGTTTGCGCCCTCAAATTTTTCGAAAAAATTTGAAAAAACTTTGTTCAAGTTATTATAAGAGGTATCAAGCAAGGAGAGGACAGGTTGTAATGGGGTATTCACTTTATGCACTTTCGCCAACCAAAAAGCCTGGCGGGCTGCCCCCAGTGGACCTCATCCTTGTGTAGAGATTCTCACTTAGTTCGACAATTTTCCTCATAGCCAACAACTCCTTATTGATGTCTCTTTCTATCTTCAAAACAATCATATCACTTGTTCTTTTACTTTTGCTGAATTGACTTGAATCTAATGTATCCGACAACTTGTTTTCGTTGGTTTCCTTCCTGATTACACAAAAACCCACGCCTTTGTCATACGGTACCGCAACTAATCCATTACTCTTCAGATACTTTCGCGCTTTCTCAACGCCTTTGTTAGATGGTTTTTGTTTCATCCTTTTAGCATAGGCTTTTGCCACAGCTTCGATCTCACGAAGGGCCTCCCCGAGGACTTTACAATTTTTGAGATCCAATCGAAAGATGTCATTGTCGGCGAGAAAAAGTGTCTCATCCAATTTATCCCTGATGGGATGTTTCGGCCCTAATGCCAAGACTTGTTGTACCCAATTTAGTAATTCAACATCAACAAGAGCTCTTACTGAACCCTCACCTTGCTTCCCTAGAGGTCGGTCTTGCCTTTCTGATAGTTTCATTAGCTTCTTCTGATGGGTCTTTTTGACTATTGTTGTTTGTCTTTGTCTCCTAAGACTTAAGTATTTAATTACCGAAGGCCAAAACTACTCATCTACACCCCTCTGTACTGCGCTTCTCGCCTTTTCTATTTTGACTTCACTGTCCTAGCCTTGTTTATCTCCGTTTTTAGAAGTTTAGTCTGAAAACTCTGTAGCGCATGGTTCGAAAACACCCCAATTTCCGGTACCTTGAACCTCAAAAAATCAAGTATAATGCCGTTTTCTAGACAAATTCTCAAAATTTTAACACGTTGGTGACAGTTTATAGATTTAACTTATATTGACACATAATCACGGACTAATTTCCAAATGAGTTTGTGTTTTAAAGTCCAAATCAAGATTGGAGGTGGGAGTGCAACTGTGCTCTTTGGTTTGCAGGCCACGAGGAATAAAACTCACGTGACACAAAGCAACACAAATAACACAACTCTAACTCACCCTCTCCGTTGAAGCCTCCTCATCAGTTGGACCAACAGTTTCCTGGCCTCTGTTCATCAGTTTTCTTTTCTCTGAGCTCCTTCTCGTTTGAGATTTCTTTTTCGTGTTTGAACGAAGCTTGGACAAAACAGCTGGAAGGTTGTCTTGGTGTTCGAACACAATCCGCGAAGACTTTAGCTCCAGCTGGACGTCCTGGGGCAGTGCCTGTTATTCGTTGACCAGCTCCGCTCTTCTCTTCCTCTTTGAAATTCAGTAGAATTTAGGTAACTGACGCCGGCCAGTCGTTAATAGGTGTAACATTCGCCCAGAAATACATATCGACGGTAAATGAAGCTAAGCTATAAAACGACTGGCCAGCGTCTAAACTAAGCTCTACTTGATTTGCCTCGTCTAGTTCACCACTGAGAATTGCTGTGCCACCAAAGAGGGCGAGAGTAGAACAGGGGGTTCAAACAAACCAAATCATGCAAGATCTAGATGGGATGAAAGATGAGCTGGAGAGGACCAGAAAGGACCTGGATGAAATGAGTAAGACCATGCTCACTACGGAGGAAGACAGAGACATGTGCAAGGGATTGTTTGAAGACTGCAACAAAAAGCAGGGTGAAGAAATTGAACGCTTGAGGCGGGACTACAAGGAGTGAACGGAGTGGTTGGCACTGACAACAGCCGTGGAAAAAGTGATACCTGCAAGGAGTATTCCTCGTGGGCAGTCCCCGATGGAGCTCTTGACGCCTCGAGAAATGAGTCAAACGGCAGAAACGCGACTCCCAACTGCAACTGGTCGAGTGACAATCCCGGACCCGAGTGATACCTTAGGTGACCCAGTCGCGGAGCAGACGATGAGGAAGCTCATAGAGACAGCTGGACGACTAGTGGCCAACACGAATGCGCCAGGTTCCGGGGTGACTGCACCCTATGGAACGGTCGACGATACGGGCAGAGTACAGCTCTCCCAAGAAGTAATGACCAATAGGGGAGTTAGCGATACAATGCAACCAATGGGGAGCTCAAAAGTCCCAGACAGGAAGATACGAAAGATGCCGTCGAAGAAAGTGTCCCGGGTAATAGATGTACAAAAGAATAATCAGTTGAAGTATAACTTCACAGGAGTTCCGGAGGCGGCTCCGAAAGCTTGCATCAATCGAGCGACCTGGAACCCGGCAGTAAACTTGCAGCAACCACCACTGGGGACATCACATCTGATACTGGGAGACAGCTTGGTCAGAGTGCTCTCAAACTTGAGGACCTCCTGGATCACCCCTGTGATGGCTTTCGGAGGCGCGATGATAGCCCAGTTATTTCGGATGGTGGAGTTGATGAACCCAGGGAGAATCCCTAGTCTGATGATCCTGGTGGGGACAAATAACATCTCGAGAAGCTCAGATGAGGAAGAAGCACTATGGGAATCAATGATGGTGTGCTTGTTTACTACTCTCTGGCAGAAGTTCAACTGCGAGGTATTTACCTTTTGCACTATGCCAATGAACACGAGGACATTGACTGCAGCAGGAAGAAGGCACAACGAAGGATTAATCAGGTGAAACAACATCCTAAGGAATCTTGCAAGTCGGAATACCGAAAGGATGATCCTTATGGATATCGAACTTGAGCTGAGGGCTATGGATCAAGCCAGGCTGACTACTGACGGCATCCACTTTGATAGCATAGAAGGACAGGCTTGGTTGAACAGATTCTTCCAAGAGCGATTGGATGAATTGGAAGTAGAACTCTTTGACACGGGATTGCTGAAGGAAGAGGGAGCATCAAACGAACCGACAATTACCACCTTTGTGCCTCCTAACCTGGAAACACGCTTGGAAGCTGGGACTAGTCTCAGAAAAAAAGTTGCTGCGCCTTCCGTGCCAGAATCCGACAAACGAGTGGAGTTTGGATTGGGATTCTCAGATGAATTACTGAGATCGAGCTTGATGGTAGTGCGGGAACTAATGAGACCATCGTGGTGTCCTAGTTCCAACGCTGGTTCGATAGTACAGGCAACACAAGATTAGCAGAGGGAACTAAATGCAGACTAAAACCTGCGTGATCTTAATATCATATATGTTGTGATGACAACAGCCTCTAAGACCAACGGGGAAGACAAAGTGGAGTTGCCTTGCTGGAGACCAGAAGACTGAGTTAAACCTGGTAGCTGTCTGGCAGAAGTCTGTATACTGGAAGGTCACATTTGTGGAAGTCTAGATTGCGTGAAAACCCTGGAGAAACATTACAAGCAGTTGACAATTTTGTTTGGGAACATTGTGATGAAAGTAAGAACGGAAACGAAATTGATTGCAGATTGTCATGGAGGAACCGAGGTGAAGCTGGTGACTGCACTAGGATTCTACAGTATGTTTGGTTCTTTAGAGTCACTATTGAATCTAGAACAGAAACATGAGATGGTCACGGCCATCAGTGTACAAGTGTTTTCAGGAGTTTTGCAGACTGAGCAAAAGCACATAGGAAAGTGGAGAGAAGAGATCGAGGCGGAAATGAACATCAGACACAATGAAA